AACCACTTTTAAAAATTGTTTATGTTCCTTCACTCCTATATTTACCTCTCTGGAATTTTTTTATCCATATACGGCGTCACAATTCCAACAGTTGTTCTGATACACGCAGTTCTGTCGGTTTTCTTCTATTTTACCGCCAAATGCCTAATCTTCCCCTTTTATCAGGCATATTACTAGCTTAACGAGGCAAAGAAGTGCGTCTTTGGTCGGGGATCGAATCCCGGACCACATGCATGGTCGGCGAGCATTCTACCGCTATGCCACCAATGCATGTCACTAACTATATTTCTTGTAATTTATTTAATTCTGTAGAGGAAATATTTGAATGAAATCTAACTGTCTCGTAGAAACATTAACGACTGTATCAAATATACGGAGAGTAACTATAACTGTCTCCAATGTTCAAAGTATTTTTAGAAAGGAATTCACCGAAAATATGTTAAACAGGTGTAATATTGAAATATTTTAAAAATTCTTTTAACATAAAATATAGAACTTGTTATATTTACACTTTAATGGAGACATTGTAAAGTTTTTATTTTACTTGTTGCGTTTTTTCTTGAAGAAGTCTTTTCTTTATACGCTAAAATATGTGTATCTAAATTTCATGGTTTGAAAATTATTTTGGAGTATAAATTAACTGCTGAAAGTTGGTCTGATGCTCTAAAGTGATTGACTACAGAATAAGGTTGCCTGGAGTTCAGGTGTGAGGACAGTGTGCTGACTATGTGCTGCTGACCATTGAGTCAGATCTTATTAGCTATATTGTCTACGAGATAACTTGATCTGTAACAAGAAGTTCTTGGGTCTGAACCCTTATGGTGGGTGAGTATTTACGATGAGTTGAAAACTGGAAGGAAATAGATGTTCAATAATCCGTGGCCACTTTTTGAGTGGCTCTCTAACTTATATCAATCAGTGAAACAAATAAAGCCCCTGCTAAGTAACTTTTAAAAAATATGTAGAAAAGACAGGAAAAATCCGGAAAAGAATATTCTTCTTTCAGTTCGACTATCAACAGCCATTCTGATGAATTTACTGCACTATGAATATGCTTATTCTTGAAATTTTGATTTATTAAGTTAGAAAGTGGTAGATATACAACATCGTGATTTCTTTAGCCTTCCATTGTATTGTGCGTCGGTAGCACAGTGGTTAGGACTCTCGCCGACCATACACATGGTCCGGGGTTCGATCCCATGCCGATGCACACCTGATATCAGTAGTCGGCCTGCTAAATTTGGGCTACCGATATCACATGCTGAAAATTTCATACTTGTCTCGAAAATAGGGTGTGGAATCAAGCTATAACCAAAAATAAAATAAAATAAATTACCACCTGTCATCTAATTTTCAAAGTTATTTGAATAATATTAGCTCAAAAAATTGGTTAACACGTTACACTCCATGAAAGCTCTCCGTCATAAAAGATTGAGACTTAGTGAGCGCAGAGTAGGTACTAATACTCGAAATCATTATTTCAGTTCTACATAATATAGTTTCAATTATTAATCTAGAAAGTGAAGAATAACCCCCCAAAAAAGGAAATACACTTTCGTCTCCTCTAAGCATTACTTATGCCTTAACTTTTCAGTTATAAAAACTGGAGTTATGCATAAAAAGAAAATTATTCAACCACCCATACTATCATGATAACAGTCGCAATGATTTTCACTCAATTGGTTTTTTGTTTGTTTGTTTGTTCGTCTAACTCCATATAACTCTTGTTTTGCTTTAGAATTCTTACATAATTCCATATTTCCTTTTGTTTCTATGCATATTCTGATTACAACTCATCCATTAAATTATTCAACCTGTTATGCAACTCTTATACACTTATTCAACTCCTTTTATTTGCTGATTACTTTGTTTGTGACAACTCATCACTGTTGTCACTATCCATTTTTAAGAGTAACAAAGTTGTATGTAAAATGCGTTTGTATAGCTGAAGAGGAAAATGAATTCATCGACAAGAACCTCTTCACTGAGCTACATGTTTTGTTTTCATCTGTATCTAGATGGAAATTGTCCATGAAGTTTAATTAGTTATCACGCATAATGTATTAATATTATTATTACTGTATCCTATAGTTCCTAGCGGAACATAGGGCTTCAGCTGTGCACATCCACTGCCTTCTGTTTTCTGCCAACTTTTTCACCCCGCTCCAGGTCTGTCCACATGCTTTCATCACCTCTTCACATGACCTCCTCCAAGTCACCCTTGCACTGACGACCAACTCACCGCTTCTCTTTCGGGTTCGACTCGAACGATGGCTTGTCTAGTGCTGTCACTTGATGGTTTCCTCAGCGTATGGCCAGCCAATCCATCTCCATTTCTTCCTGCCTATTTGTTTCACAATCGGTTCCTGATTGGTTCGCTCATTGCCATAGATCCGTTTGCCTGATCTTTTCTGGCCGGCCATCTAATCTTGAGTAGTACTGAGCAAAGACAGCTGTTAATGAAGGTCTGAAGTTTGTTTGAGATGCTCTTTATGACGCGCTGGCCAAGTCTCTGATCCGTATAGTAGCACTGACTTTACATTGGAGTTGAAAATCCACATCTTTTTTTCATGATGATTGCTGTTCATACATACATACACTTGTGTGTAATGGAAGCTTGTCTTGCTTTTCCGATTCTGGTTTTGATATCCTCGTCAGTTCCGCCCGCCTGTAGTTGAAACGATGCTTAACAGGTAGGTAGGTAAAGGAGGTTGTTTCTTTCAGGTTCTTCCCATTTATGCTGGCTGATTGTTGTCTGTTGTTGTTGTTGCTGTTGGTGTTGGCCAGGAATCTTCATCACCTCTGTTTTATCTATGTTCACCTGATGTCCTATCTTCCCTAGATGCTTCTTCTGCCAGCTTGTTGCTTTTCACTTGCATATCTTCCAGTTTGTGGGAAATCAGACATATATCATCATCGGCGAAGTCCAGATCCTCCAAGTCTTTTGTGTGTGTCACTATATAATGTCACCTGAAGAGTGAATACTCATTCCTGATCATCACTATTGATCTTACCTCAAAAGCCTCAAACTTATCTTTAAGCAGTATTAATTATCAGCAGACACTCAGGTGATAATTGAGCGATAAACAGATTTAAGGATATTTAACATCATTACAAACTGAACTCTATTCATTACTACTGAGTTTGCCTTTTCTCCCCTACACAATGAAGCTATGTGTAATGAAAACCCTAATAAATTCTGATATGAATCTATTAACCTATCTATATGTTTTAAGACGAGACAAACCTTAGTCATTTTAACATACCTTTGAGTTGAAGTAATTCTCTGAGTGGTGACTAGAAGTAGAATGCAACTTTCTTCTTCCTGTTTAAGACTCGTCAGTTGGATATATCTCCATTCCCTAGTGGGTGGTGATGTTCTCAATGAGGCTGGAATCCACTACGCATCGTTTCAAACTCCAAAGCGTTGTCTACTAGACCACTTGGGCTTCAAGAGTTATTTTTAGTACAATAGAGGCCGAACATTTCGGTCTAATCAATCAACAGGAAAAATAGAAGTGAATTAAAAACAAATAATACTGACGAGACATTCAAACGAATATGTGTAGTATTACTTGATGGGATTTGTTGCCAAGGCGGTAAACAGTGATCTCATGTCCAGTCCCAGTTGTTCATACTGACTGGACTCTATCACAGTCAATTTTGAAATACTGTCTATACTTCGAAATGGTGATATGTAGTTCAAATCAGTCTGCAGAAAGTCTTAGACCGTCTTCTCTTCAGCTCCTAAAGCTATCGCCTTTTCTTTCATGAACCCATTGGAACCACATAAAACAGCGACTGAAAATTCTCTCATAAAATATTGAACGATGACTTGGATTCATTCACAGAAACAGGTACACTGTACAATGGAAAAGATTGGGATACATTCAGCAATACCACACTGTCTTTCGCCATTTTTGTCTGTTTTGTTTTAAGCACTGAAAATAAAACCTAAGAAAATGTAATTTTTACTCTATAAAGAACAATAAGTTGTATCTACCAAACCTGTTATTGTGCAGCCAGCCAGGTATGTTGGTCATTCGACGCATATCCTATGTAAAAGGTTTCAACAAGACTATCGCACTACATGGTTGCAGAAAGGTAGTAGTAGTAGCAGTGGCTTTATAAGGACTGTGGTAACTGTACACCTTGTCAACACTAATCATTCCATCTCAATAAACTCTTCCTTCAGTGTGAAGAATAACCTGCCAAAGATAATAGTTTTTTTTGTCTCATCTCCACTGCTTAATTGTTATTCATTCAGTCAAAAAAAAAACTGGAACTTTGCCTAAATAGGAGATGATTATTCAGCCACTTCTACTATCACAGTAACAACCATGTTGATTTTCACTGAGTTGATTTTTCTTTGTTTCTTTGTTTTTCTAATGCCTTAGTAACTCTTCTAATTTTCCATGACGCTTACAAAATTTCATATTTTCCGTCGTTTCTATGTGCATCCTGATGACAACTTATTCATCAAAATAATTCATCTTATGACGTAACTCTTATACAATTATTCATCTTGTTTTATTTATTCACTAGCATTAATAACTATGTTTGTGACAACCCATCTCACCTTTGTTACTATCCTCTTTCATGAGTAATAAAGTTGTATGTGAATGTGGTTGTGTACAGTAGAAGCGGAAAATGAATTCACCGGAAAGAGAGAGCCTCTTCACTCAACTAGTTGTTTTGTTTTCATAAATTATCTTGACAACGAAATACTAGAAACGCTATTATACTTCACTTCCTTGCTTACCAATAGTTGTCAGTAGAAGATATTTTGTTATCTTCAAGATAATCCTGTCAATGATTCGTCAGGATTGTACAAAACTCCACAGGTTCTGCAAACAACAAACTGATTGAATGTTGTCGCTAATCCTCTCTAAAATGGTTTATTTATACTTGTCGCTTCAATTAAAAAAAAACACTTTCTTTCCGTTTAATGCATTTTCTCTTATTATTCGCATGTATTTTGTTTGTTTTTAATCTTTCAGATATTCCAGTGGAGCGGAACATTTAAGCGCTGAAGATTTAAAGAATTTTTTCGAAAGTGAACAAGGTGTAAGTTTTGTAAACCTGATTACTTTAACTGAACAAAATGAATTCGGGAAAGATAACTCATTTGAGTTATGATGCCTTGTAGTTATTCACTACTATCCAGTTAACCGAAGTGCTAAAGCCTCTCCGTTATTGCCACTGTAGTGATCAGCTAAACTTAACCAATGATCTTAAATTAAGTCAAATAGTATCATTCCTTGTCAGACCGGTGGATCTCTAATAGTATTTAAGAATCCTTAATATGGTTCATATAAGACTGGTAAGGTTAAGCTACTAAGATATCGCAAAAGAAATACTCAACATGTATTTAGTCAATATTAGGTGTGAGAGGTTCAAATAACCATCTCTCTGTGATAATTCCACACACCCATAAAGGAGACAGTCACAAGGCTGAAACATTAAAATACTCACTTTTCTGTTTTCCACACCTTGCAACCCTAGATTGTAGAGTAGGAAGGAAAGAAGATGGGAAGTTAAACACTAGTTCTTACAGGAAACCCATACATTGAAACAGATATTTGGATTTCTGTTCATCTAATCCTATGTCAGTGAAAATAAGATTGGTGAAATGTTTAAGTAGTAGAGCACAAAATCTATGTAGTACCAAGGAAGATCTAAGATATGCAGTGAGGCATATAAGAGAAGCTTTGAAACTTAATAATTACCCTGGTAAATTAATCAGGAAGTATGCAGGAAAAATGTAAAAATAAAATCAATAATGATAGCAATGATAGTGATAATATTAATGATGACAATAATAGTAGTTAATATAATAGTAATATTAATGACGACATACATGTCAAAAATGTACAAGACAACACCGACAATAAAGAATCTAAATTATCAGTAGTAATCCCATACAAGGAAGGAACCTCGGAAACAGCCTTACGGAGAATTCTTAACAAGGCAGAAATAAAGGTGGCTGGTATTCAAACCCATAAACTCAATTAGACACAAGCTTTGTTGGTTAAATGATCCTGTGAACCTTCAAAACAAAACAATTTAGTTTATCTAATACCCTGCCGGAATGATTGTCAGGTCAAATATATAGGTCAAACTAGTAGAACAGGGGCAGTCAGACTAGCGGAGCAGAATAAAAACCTAGCAAAATCTAGATTAGTTGACCCGAATAAGATAAGAAATCTAGAGAATAGTTCAACTATAGAACTCACTACATGCAGTTACACACAACCATACAATAGGATGATGGGATAGGATGACAGTTTTGAAATCTAATGTAACAGGGTGGAGGGACAGATTGATAAGGGAAGCTTTGTTTATCGAATCAACTGCAAATCGACACGTGTAATAGGAATGATTCAACACCTGTCCAGTCGGATATCTAGAAAATTCTACTACCCCAACGACGACAAATAGGAGAGAACAAATAAAACTATAAGACTCAAGTTTCGAAGTTGTGTGTTTATGATTGATATGATTATGAACAATAGATAAATTGTGTTCGAAACTGTGTCATCAAGTAAGTAAGACTGTTTCGCTGTGTGGTATATCTAATAAATAAATGAATATGGAATTACTTACTACCACAGTGCCCATGGTTTAAACATATATTAATTGCAACCGTAGTTGAAGTAAAAGAGTTGAGTGTGAGTCCGAGGGTGATATGGATGAGATTGTGTGTGGAGGTGATAAGAGGTTATGGGCAGTTGTGCATAGGACAGAGAAGAGAACGAAATAGCGGTGAGCTGTTGTTCTTCTTCTTATTATTATTATTGTTCCATCGGACTCCCAATGGAGTATAGGGGTACCATAGCAGGTCTCAATTTTGTCCTATTCTCTCCAGTCCTATCGGCTGGCCCTATGATTGACCATAAAATTTCATCTCACTTCCATGTCACTTCCGGAAACGCGCCCAACTTGTCATTTCACATTCAGGTTCAATTCGAGCGTTGACTTGACGTGCGAAGTTAAACAACGCTCCCCTCAACGAATTCCCAATTCACCTCCATTTTCTCCTCTATATTTGTTGAGAAACATATTTTTATTGGTTCGTTCTCAGAATTTTCTTGTTGTTAATTCTTCTAGAGTGGCAATTTGATCTTTAGTATGCAGCCAGCGAAGGCTGTTGTTGATAAAAGTCTACACTCCCCAGCTAGACGCGTTCACCAAGTTTCTGACCCATATCCAATAACTGACTCGCTTGACATTGGTGTTGAATATCTGAATTCCATTTTTTGTGCTAAGTGCAGATGAGTTCGAAGCTGATCTGGAGATTGCTGAAGGTGTATCTTACCTTTTGGATTCTTTCTTTTACATCTTCATCCCTTCCAACTGTCTGTAGTTGAGACGATGCTTCTTAGATACGTAAAAGCACTGACCTTTTCCAGTTTTCTTCCGTTGGTAGTGATCAGTGCATGGGTGTCTTCACCATCCCCATCTTCTCTATGCTATAACTAGATGGGCTGCAGAATTACTTTATTCTACTTGGAACCTGATGGAATAATAAAATAACGACAAGGTTCATTACTGTATTAGTTAAAGATTTACAGTGAATATACCTCATCTTTAGGTAATACCTTCTCTCAGATATCGCGGTCAAGTGTAATTTGCCTTTTTGTTATTACAAGTCTCTTATCTCTTTGTATGCACCACTATAGAATCTGAAAACCTTTTTGTCTATACATAAATATATATACATATATATTGTAAGTTCTTTATTCTTCTGTAATTTTACAGAGAACTGGTTTAACTCTCGAACAGTGTATATCAATCATCAACCGTTTTGAACCTTCTCAAGAAAATCGTCAATACAATCTGATGGGTATAGATGGTAAGTGCAGTCAAAAGTCAGCTTGCGTGTGTTACAGCAAATAAGAAAAGGAAAAATAAATAAATTTTCAAAAGTTATTTTTCCTTTTTACTTCGTTTGATTTGTTTTTCTTTCGCTGCAAGCCCAATCCAACCCCTCCCGGTGACTTTTTCATGTGTTCATATATACATACATATTGAATGTTTACAAATTGAGATGAAGCCAAATTCGATTTCCGCCTTAAAGAAAATCGCATAACACTACTGTGTGTGTGTGTTATTTTAGCAAAATTGTAAATAGAAAAACAGAATGGAGAAAAAACTATTTTGATGACAAAAAGCAGGGGAAAAAACCCAGTTTTTGTTAAGCAAAGAGATATTTCTTTTGCTAACGATTGTGATCATACAATTGTTTTTGCATTACGCTTAATTTCACTTTTATGTTCATCAACTCTTTTGTGCTCTCCTGTGGAAGCTGATTAAATTGGATGCTGTAGGCGTGTTCTGCGGAAATGCAAAGCCGGATACACCACTATATTCTGATTGATGAGCATAGATGAGTATAGAATGATGAAGTCTTTCATTTTGTGGACATCTTCTTGAGTCAAATCATTCAGCCTAATATGTGATTTATTATCCTTTAAAGTTATCCACGGAGGTAATTTCAGTCACACTTATACAATCACTGAGGCGATGTCTACCCACGGATAGAAAGTCACACAAACTCGAAGACTTACAGACAGAAACCAACAAGTTGGAAGCAGATGAAGCCAGAGAAGACAGTACTTCTGGTGACTGTATAGAGAAGACGGAGGTGGTGGTGGTAATCAACCAATCCACATCAACAGGGGAAATTTGAAAGAGGTCACTTTCATCACTTATCTGACCAGGCAGCATCTTTTCAATCACAGACACACAAAACAAATGAGGATGTCAGAAAAACTTGAATCGGAAAGACAAGATGCATCTCCATCAAACTGAAATGAGTTTGAGAATCTTCTGCATTCCGCCGGAGCATTAACACTGAAAATTCGGATTTTCAACACCAATGTTAACTTAGTCAGGTTTTATACACATATATATGCGTTAGAAAGTTGATGAGAGCGTCAGTGTAGACTTTCATCAGAATCTGCCTTCTCCAGCCAGAAAGAGTTAGCAGCAAGAGACTTTGAGGACGAACTAATCAAGAACGTTTTGCCAAACAAACATGTCGAAGAAAATGGAGATGAATTGGACACATGCTGAGGAGACCGTACAGTGAAGTCGAGCGCCAAACCATCACTCAAGTGGAATTTAAATCAACGATGACGTGTTAAGTGCAGTTTTTAGGGTGACATGGAGGAGATTGTGTGACCAGGAAACGAGAGGCTATGGGAGACGGTGGGACCAAACGAAGAGGACTGGAGATGTTCTGTTGAAGTCCAACAGAATAGTAATAAGTAATATTTATGTTGGTTGCACAATTTGTAGTTCCGCTTAATGTTGGAGGATTGTGTTATATTTACCCAGATAAATCAGTCAAGAAATATGTAAGTAAATGTAAAAATAAAATAAATAATGATAGTAGCGATAGGGATAATAATAATGATATCAATAATAATGATAATAATAATGGTAATATTAATAATATTAATACTAATGACGACACCAACAATAAGGGATTTAAATCATCAACAGTAATTCCATGCAAGGAAGGAACCTCGGAAACCTTATGGAGAATTCTTAACAAGGCCGGAATAAAAGTGGCATACAAACCCACAAATTGAATTATAAACAAGCTTTGTCGGTTAAAGGATGCTGTGGAGCCTTCTTTCCAAAACAATTTAATTTATCTAATACCCTGCCGGAATGATTGTCAGGTCAAATACATAGGTCAAACTAGTAGAACACGGGCAGTCAAACTAGCCGAACATAAAATCTTAGCAAAATCTAGATTGGTTGACCCGAATAAGATAAGAAATCTAGAGAATAGTTCAGCCACAGCATTACATGCAATCGCACACAACCATACAATAGGATGATGGGATAGGATGACAGTTTTGAAATCTAATGTAACAGGGTGGAGGGAGAGATTGATAAGGGAAGCTTTGTTTATCGAATCAACTGCAAATCGACACGTGTAATAGGAATGATTCATCACCTGTCCCTGATATCTAGAAAATTCTACTACCCCTACGACAAATAAGAGAAAACTATAAAACCGCTTAATGTTAACTTTCTCTGTTAATAAATTCGACTAAACAAATTGAAAAATAAGCCATTGAGAAAATGAATAAATGAGTATATTTCGCGAAATATATAAATAATGTTTATTCAACTTAGTAACTAATTCGCCCACTGTTATATTCCTCTTCGGTTTTACTATGAATTACTACAAACTTTATTTTGAATAAAGCAAGAACAACAGTGGTTGTTACAGAATAATACAGTTTCATATTTTATTTATATGGCTTCTCGTCAGCTGCTAACAGCCTAAATAAATTATTCTTATTAGGTTCATGTACAGAAAAGTTTCAACATACTTGAAAATTTTACATGATGTCAGTTGACAGAAGATTCCGGAATTGGCGAAGAGTGCTCAGAAAATTATGCTCATAAAGTTTTTACATAGGCAGTTCAAGTTTAAGCAAAGTAAATATATGTACACAAGGGTGAAGGAGTTATGTCACTAGCCACAGCCTATCCCGCAGCTGAGTTGGTTCTCGTCTGTCTGACAGCATGCTCTTTGATGCAGTCAACAGATACCCTTAGCATGGTAGCTTTAACTGCGTATAAAAATTTACCTGTATCTGCAAAGCAGTTACAATGACAGAATGGAAAGAAGGATACACCTCCGATTTTCTGAACATGTGCGGTCAAGTCTACACCTCAAGGGAACAAAGGGTTATAATAGTGGCATTACCATACATCTCCTTGATACAGGTCACAAGAGGTGTAAATTGCGAAATCCTGTCAAATTATCACTGGACAGAGGAGCTCAATTCTCCCCAACTTTGTCGAAACAATTTCTATCAAAAGCTTGAAACCTGATTTATTTGTTCAGAAAGAAGCACTTGGTAACTGGATGTCTTTTCTCTCTCTCTTTTGATTGATTACTTAATCTTTGACTTTAACCTCGCTCTTCTGATATAGTGCACTTTTGCTTGTCCCTTGTTTCTATGATTTAAGTTGAACTCATTACATTGTTACCTAATTTATTAATCATTCAGCATCTTACGCTTCTCTCATCTTTATTACTTAACTCCATTACCACTGCATACATATATTTACTTAGTTTAAACTTGAACTGCCTGTGTAAAAACTTTATGAGCATAATTTTCTGAGCACTCTTCGCCAATTCCGAAATCTTCTGTCAACTGACATCGTGTAAAATTTTCAAGTATGTTGAAACTTTTCTGTACATGAACCTAATAAGAATAATTTATTTAGGCTGTTAGCAGCTGACGAGAAGCCATATAAATAAAATATGAAACTGTATTATCCTGTAACATTCACTGTCGTTTTTGCTTTAGTCAAATTCATCAAGGGAAATAAAATGTATGAAGTTTCTACAGTCGTTATCTTGAATGTGTTTTAGGCAAATTAATAGAACAAAACCAGCAACATGTTGAGATACAGCATATCTGATCTTAGTGGTTCATCGGTATCATGCTCCTCGACTGCGTCACACGTGATCTCAGATTCAATCCTTGGCTTAATCCCCTGATTGAACCTTGTCAAGTCGATAATAAGCCCGGTAAGGAGTGGGGTGTGTGTGCATCAGGCTAGCAACCCCCCCCCCCAGCCGTAAAAATAAAGCCAACTGCTACCGAAACTTTAAGCCATCTCAAGCATGAAGCCTTGCGTTTCACTCAAAGGGCAAGGGAATGAAATTATGATGTGGTTTTGTTCTCTGAGCTGGATGGTTAGTTTGCGAAGCTTTCATCACCTTACTGGGTGACATCTTCAGCGCATACTTCAATTTGAAGTGAGCTTTTAGATTTCTCCACGAGTTTATTAATCATCTCTCCTGGTGACCTTGGACGTGATTGGTTGTTTGTGTGTGTTTTCACACCTTCTAGGTTACTTGTATTGGAACCGGTTGTTTCTTTGACTTGAACTTTGACCCTTTGTGTATGAAGTTTCTTTCTTATTGGTTGATAACTTTTGTCTATCTCGATGTGTCTATTGATTGATGATTCACTGGAATGCCAAGCTTCTAAAAATTCTCTAGCATTCTTGTTATTTCCTTTGTCTAATATTTGAACGTTGTCCCAGTCGAATTGATGTCCGTAGTTGTCTGTGTGTAGTGAAATGAGGGAGTGTATATCATGTCTTTTGACGGCTAGTTTATGTTCGTGGATACGAAGACGAAGGGGACGTCCACTTTGGCCGATGTAGTGTTTTTCGCAGTTGTTACAGTTTATTTTGTAGATGATGAAATTATAAAAATAGTAGTATAGGATTTCTGTTGTCACTAAAATTGATAAACCACTTCGTAGTGATGTTGTCTGACAAAGATTCTATTAATCTAATTATGTTAAGTTACCTACTTCTGCCTAGATTTACAGCTCATTCCACAGATGAGAGCTATGTGTATAATGCAGAAGTTCTTTTCTGTTGTTTCATTTATTCTACTATATCTATCTGCTTAAGTCTCAGTTCATAAATCAATCGCGTATATCCTCGAACAACCCAGGAAGTAGACATAAAATAATTACTGTAAGAGATAGTTCTGAAGGCGGGATTTCAGGCCAACCCTAGAGAAGATAAAGGTGACGAGCATACCAACTGACCAACCTACAACAAAAACAAAATCTTGCAGCAATCAATATCGGCGAGATATGTGTTGAAGGCGGTAACCTGCACTACTCGTCTAGATAGCATTGTTTCAACCACTTGTTATACTGATTGGAATTTCACAGCCAATCACAATTACAGAGTAAAACATCTTTCCATTACAGGGAAATCGGTGTGGGGAGGTCTGCGGCACTTAGCATAAGAAGCAAGATCTGAATAAATTTTTAACAGTAACATCAAGTCTGTCAGTGTTTCTATATGGTTCACAGACTTGGCATGCGCGATGCAGAAATTATTTTGAATAAGCTAACGAAGTTTATCAAAAGATATCCTCCCTCTTTACTGAGGATCAGATAGCCAGAAAAGAATAACAATAAGGAACTCTGGAGACGAATCAACCTAGCAACCTATTGCACAACAACTACTTGGAAGGGAATAAAGATGGACTGGATAAACACTGAGGGAACATCTGAGTGAAACTACAGACGAAGCTGTCGAGTGGGAACATTGATGAGGAACAAGTATAATGTAGAGGACATTATGTGAGGAAGACATGACAACTTACCGGCAATCTTGGTGCCAGCTAAAGAAGACTGAAGAAAACAAGGTAAAATGGATATGTGCATTTGAAGATCCATGTAACACTTGAAATCCAAAGGATTAATAGTAATAATTATATGCCTTATTCTGTTAAAATAACTGATCTGCAACAATGTGTGCATAGAAGTACTTTTCATAAATGTATCACAAGATCTCAGATATATACCTGAAATATACATTTCTTATGGTTTCAGAGTTATCGATCTGAATATACACACACACACCAAGGATGAGGTTCCAATTTGACAGTAAACTAGTTACTTTATTCTAAAATGACATCTGTTCAGATTAACAGATGCCAGTAGAATAACATAAACAGAAGAGAAATGTCATAAAATGTTCGAGAAAAACAAGAGATTTTATAAATAATTGTAGTAACTAATGCTCTCAGATTTTCAACACCAATGTTAAGTTAGTCAATTCTTCTAAGTGCATCTCCGAAACTTACACTGCACGTCATGGAAAACATGTCTAATGGGCTACTTTAGACTCTGAACAACAGTTGTCATACTGTAGTTTAGGTAGCTGGCCAGAAAGAATTAGAAACAAGAAACTGTCGGGAACGAGTTCCTAAGACAGTGTAGATACATCGAACACTCTGAGTACACTTGAGTAGAACTCGAAGTGGAAACGATGAGTTTGGTATGAACGTGTGTGAAAGTAACATGGGGAGATCATGTAACTTCGGAAAGATGAGAGTCTATGGGCAATTTTGTGGAGCCATCTAAAGAGGACTACATAGAATAGGATAAAGTGAAGATATGCTGTTGAAGCCCTATGTTCCACTCGGTGCCAAAGAGAATACCACTAACTATAAATGTTTTTACTGAAAGGAAACAGCATATATATTTTGATCGATAAATGATGCAGGCAACATGTAATTAAGACTGCAGCGGAAGAATTTAATCAATAATTTAAGAGTTAAATACTCCTGGCCAATCATTCTTCATACTATTCATAACTACAATCTACAATTACACGGTTTGTCTAAGCACATTATCATTAGATTAAAAGGAAATGAATATCATTCAAAACGGTACAGTAAAGAGGCATATGTACTGTGTACTTTTGAGTGTATTAGTTTATTTATATTCTCTAAGCTGAATAATTTCGTTGCGAGGATTTTATTGTTTTTCTTGACAACATTTTCAGTGTATACTGTTCAGCAGTTCTGTCTGTCAGTGAGATATGGCCATTGAAAGTGGAAGATATGAAAAGCCTGGCTAGTTGTCTTTGACCATACGTGTCTGCATTTTATATCTCATGTTGGGTGGTATTATGAGATGAGTGTTATTGAGGTATTAAGGCATCGAGTATTAGATAAGGAGGGAAAACCAATAGACAAGATTGTGCCGCTATATTGACTGAGATGGCTAGAGCTCGTGTTGTGAATGCGTCCCTCTATGGGAAATTTTAGCTGGTAAAAGATTTGTTAGGCTGGAGAAGAGCTAGTGATGATGGTCAAACAAAAACATGGCATCAGTCACTGAAATCCATAACAGATAGTTTAAGCCAGCCACGTAGGGAGGTATAGGGTATCTTGCTGTGTCGGGTCCTTGGGATGTTAGGAATCGATGAATGCTGGAGACAACTGGTGGCAAGTTGATCTGGTGCACAACTGTGCCAACTTCTATAATCAAACTAGTCAGTTACCCAGTCAAAATGCTGTAATTTGAAGTGAGATTTTTAGAATTCTGCTCGAATTTATCAACCATCTTTCCTTAGCAATCATGATCGTAACTGGGTTTTCCTGAATATTTTCCCCCTTTACTTTAAAGTATAGCCAAAGATTCTGCTTTATCAGTCAACAGTGACATGACTGGGACATCGATTTAATATCGGTCCTGCGTAATGCATTCAGTAACAACAGTGAATAAGCGTAACCGATTACGTAATACTGAGATCAATGGAATCTTATGTCAGAATCAATATAATAAAAATAGTCCAATTATCCCAGTTAATTAAACATTGATTTGGTATTTGATGTAACATTTCCCCTAATAAGTAATGAGAAATCATTGCTTCATAGTGTTAGAAACACCTGGTTATCACGATCATTATTAGATCCTGGTTTTCATCTTTTTGTTAATTACTCCTCTGAGGACTTCGGTAACCCACTTTACACAAAATTCGTTACATGCGGCTTTATTTTGCAGTGGAGTACATTTTGGGTGGTATAGACAACTCCCTGACAGTTATTATTTGCAAAGATTTGTTCGATCACATGTATGATCACGAAATGCCATCAACTGCTCCATTTTTTGGGGACACCTAAGCAGTATAAACTGAAGACTCCACTAGGAATTAAATTCCAAGACTTCAGGTTACAAGCTCTCTGACAATGCGCTGCTTGCATGGTCTATGGGCTTGCCTTTCAACCCTAAGGTCCTGAGTTCAGTCCCTGTGTGATGCATGAGTGCGTACTGTTGGAGAGTTCCAAAAAGGAGAGAAAAAACTGTCCCATTCTCTTTGGTTTTCTACCTGAGGCAAGTTAGAAATTGAACATTTGAGATGGTCAGACACTGACATGTAGTATATTAGCTTTAGAGGTAATTCAGAATTCGAATCCCTATGCATGTATTTACCCAATAAATATGAAAGTTGTTTCAGCTAACTTAATTCTAACAAATTCATTCTATTTTTAAACCGTTGTCGGTGCAGTGTTTCACTAACTTTCTGAAGTTCTCAGTAGAATTTAGTTTCATTAACAGCGCTTCAAAAATGGTTTCCATTGTTACTGCAGTAATACAGCAATACCCTGTAATGTGAAAGGAATCTAAGCAGTCATCTCAAACCCGAGGGTGACATTCTATGGCCCCATGCCTTCCTTTCTGCTTTCGTGGAAACAAAACATACCAGTAGACTGGCTTCAAGAAGACTTTGTTCAGCTAAAAGTAATTCACCTTCAAAGTGAGGAATCTTCCCTATTCTTCAATAGCAGTGGGATTACTCATTAGGAGTGGAATTGTCAGCTCCATACACAACCTTTCCCTTTTAACAGGCTTATGACAATATTGTTAACTAATCAGAGTTTTCACGTGAAACCACCGACACTGCGTAAACTATTCCCGTAAACGTACCACTTCCAAAATCCACTATTTAACACAAATAGGTAGATGTTTGAACAAAAAAAGCATTTAAGTATTGATTTGCACGGATTCGATCGGTTGGTCACAGGAATTCATCATGACCTGACATCGGTTACAAAACTATATGAAAAGCTGCATGGAGTACTGGAAAGTTGTTTCGTCCTAGTTTGGGACTCTTCACAGTACGCATCGACTGGGGTTCGAACATAGGACCTTCTGGTTACAGGAAGAGCAGTAAGACCATTCAAAACCACTGGAACCCGATCCAATGGTCATTGCATGACGAGTGTTTTTCCGCACACATGACTCACTGTACTCTACTGCTCACGACTTGTTTTTTTTTCAGAATACCTACGTCGACGTCAAGGAGACTTGTATAAAGACATGCTTTATTTTGCTCGCAGCGTCCAAAGGTATCAGATTTACGGCACACTTACTGATACAGAAGAGTAAGCGATGATGTGGAGATGAATGGGAAGTCTTAGTACATGAATAAATATTTCTATAAAGCTTTGTAGTTAATTACTTTGTTTAACTTATTATAATGTATTCTGTTATTATTATTATATTTCCAAGGTTTCACTTCATTGCTGTTATCTGAAGAATGTGATATATTCAATCCTGTACACTTACAAGTATGCCAAGATATGTCTCAGCCAATAACACATTATTACATTGCATCATCGCATAAAACGTAAGTTTCTCGCAAAATAAAGTTTACTTGCATATCCTAGAATACAGTGATGACTGCAATGAGAGTCAATCTAGGACTTGTTGTTTGGGCGGTGTACAATTAACCCCACTTTACCATTGACGTTCATTTAAATCTCTATTACTATGTTTTGAATTCAAATCATTTTCAATTTACTATAGTAAAAATATACTGGATTAATAATATATATTCAATGAATCAAGTTAAAAATAAATGAAACTGGGGATGAAACAATTCAGAAGAATAAAAATTAGATGAATTGAATTCTAGAGTTCGAAACCAGTACCTTCTAGTTACAAGGCAAACGCGTAGACCATTCAGTCACTGGTACCTGACTCAGTGTCACCAAAATTACAAATTAGTAGGAGTTAGAGTTCATGGGCTAACGGCTATTGAGTCGCATCCCCCTTTATCTGAACTGTCTAAGAGCTTGACCCCCCCCCCTAGTGGGTGTATACTGCCAATTAGTCCGAAATTTGGACTATAGGGGTGTAAAATACTCTCAGTTGGTTTTCAATGGTTCTTTAACTGACATCAACTTTTGAAAAACAACTATTATTATTATTATCATTATAACTTTCATTTCTAGGCATTCGGTATCATGAATACTAATAAGGGTTTACATATTAGTATCTGTGCATTCGATTCCCGTTAACCTTGATGATGAGTGTCTTCATTTTTCAATGTCCAAAACTTCACTTGTACTTCTATTTATATTGTGGAAGTAGTTCCCAGTTATATGTAAAAAGTAGGCACAACTGTTTGAGATTTTATCATTTCACTTCTGCTCAATCGCGTAGATTTTCCTCTAAAGCTGATGGTTCTCTGTTCTTAGTTTGATCCATTATATTCCTAAACCTTCCTTTTTAATTTGCTTGTGTCAGGGGAAGTTTCAATTGATTTAGCACCTATTGGTTAGTATTATAAGGATTACCAGTAAACGCCACTATCTTTGAGCTATCCAGTCTGATCGTAGGCCTTTCATCACACTTAGCTTTTTGTTAGTCGTCCGTGATTCACTGATAGAATACTCACCAATCAATCACTCAAATGATCCGGGTTCGATTCCTCGCCGAGGCGCTCGTAAACCTCATTTAGTTTACCAACTGTTGGTAAGCGTGAAAAAGGGTGAAAGTTGAGTTTGAAGCCTTCTTCTCCATTGAAAATCACCAACACTACTGCCTGTGAAACTTTAATGGTTAAGCTGGCAAAATTAGATGTCATGGTTATGAGTATACACACTGAACAGTTTTGTTTACTATATTCGGAACTACACTTGAAACAATTTGTGTGTGTTTCATGACTTAAACACTCAGGTTTTGATGATTCGAATTGAAGCAAGATTCCTGTTGTTATCTTTAATTATCAGATCTTTAAAAGCTGACTAAGAAATAAAATCCACTGGCACAATATAACCTCAAATCCCTTCAACCTAAGGTATGCACACTGGTATATATGTGTAGTTGTATAAAGTCAAGGGTCTTGAACAAGAATCAAAGGCATTTTTGAAAGATTCAAAGAATAATATTTGAAGAATTCATCACCAGCCGAAAACAGTTAGAGAACCATTGGATAACAACTACCTGGGAGTACTGGACAGCTGTTTCGTCCCAATAATTCACGAGTCTTCAGAAGTACGCAACCTCTCAGTGTTTAAACCCAAGACCTTCCCGTCAGAAGGCGAGCCGGTGATTGAAGCTTGACTTAGATTTAAAGTATGTGAAAGCTGCAATAAGTTTTATAAGCTAATAGAGAATCCTGTCGTAATCTGGACGCCCAATTTCAAGAAGGTAAAATGAGTTTTTAACCAAAAGGTGGTGGGTTCGAACCCAATTGGATGCACACTGCTGAAGAGTCCTAAACCAGGAATAAAACAACTGTTCAGTACTCCCATGTTTTTCAATGGTTCTCTAACCAATGTCAGCTGATCATGAAATCCTGTAACCAATCAATCAAATCCCTATAAACCAATACTTGATTAAGAGTTTTTATTTTCCCCTCTTGTGTGTTTCATATTATATCTTTGTTTTTTTGTTTTTGCTTGTTTGTTCTTTTTTGTTTCAGATTTCTCCTTGAAGATCAACTTACAGGTCCTTGTAGTATTGAAGGTTATCAAAGAGCACTTCTTTCAGGTTGTAGATATATTGAACGTAAGTGGGCTTCGTTTTACCCCTCTTCATTGTTTGCTTATCTTTTTAACCTCAAACATTAAGCCTAATTATTGATTAATTTTCTTTGAGTTAAACATTAGTTTCAGTAGACTAAAGCATTCATTTGTGCATAGTTTTGATATTAGATGGTTGAGGACATTTGGTAGGAAACCTTGTTTCACCTAGGTTCCGAGCTAGTTGGCATCCATTAGTCAGGGCAAGGTTTATCTACAATCCTGGAAGAACTCTTATCCCTCCTTCTGATATTGGAACCCTCGTCACTCAGTGAATGTCATAGTCACAGATGTTATCACTGAACTATTTGCGCCCGCGATCGACCTCATGTAAGGTTACGTTAGATATTTTGGCTGGAAACTATTTATCCTCATCCCCGGATCTACTCTACAATATATATATATATATATTACAGCAGAGCCTGATATGTGGAACTAATTGAAAAGTAAATATTTCTTCGCTGAAACCTTTTGCTTTCTAAATGTCTAAATGCGGATTTTTTTTCTGTAATGAATTCATGATATGGCGTGACCACTAGCCTGATGTCACCGGTGGCGAGTACTTATCCTCACTCCCGACCTGTTGTTGTACCCTGCTGGTCACGGCTTCCTATTATATTTCATTTTGTCTATCAAATGGTCACCATCAATTGAATGAAACAGAATACACATTCAAATGAGTTTTGTTCATGCTTTTACCCGTGACTGTTTGACATTTAATCTTTATTTGCATGAATTTTCAGATATTAGTGTAGTACCTGAGGAGGTCTAATTGAAAACAGTATTAGAATATATCATCTTATGTCACATACAACACTGCAGAAAAGTTTTGCATACTATGTAAATCCATAAGACAATTAATTAGGGATGGTTAACAGAGGAATTTAGGATGCACATTTCATCCTATCCAGGACTTGCCAGTTGGATATGCCGGTATATCCGGTGAGTGTTAGTGTTTTTCCTGAGAATTGGATCCGGAAACCACTGGAAGAAGCTTTCATTGTAAATTCTACTACTAGCTTGCAGCAACCAAGTGACACCTTTTTTAACGTCAAAGCATTACCAAATTATCCGCACCACTAACCAACATGTCAGCAAAAAGAGCCAACTTGTTGTCTCAGTAAGAATCAGTCAACAGAAATTTCGAAGTATCTTCAAGAAACAATGGAACTTTTATCTTAGACGTTTCATTTATCAACCTTCCCTGTTAACTGTCTGGGGAAAAGTGATTTGATGCGGAATAACGTGATAGATTATGAAATCATACTAAAAATAACCCATAACAGAACTCAATACTTGCATAAATATAACTGGTTTAAGTGCAATAGCAATACCAACATATTTTAATTGCTTCTTATTGAAAATGTATTTACATTATTTGAAATCCTTATCACTACCAATTATTAACAAACAATAATACATTCTACTTTACTCTTCATTTTTCTAATCAAGTTGAAGTCTACGACGGTCATGATGGTCATCCAGTTGTCAGACGTGTAAACTCACGACCTCCTGGTATTCCAATACAAGCTGTATTAAATACAATACATGATTTTGCATTCATTCGTTCAGAGTGAGTAATAACTGCTTGTCTTTTTTTTTTGCTTTGCATTATTCAGCCCTTTACCTTTATGATAAAATGAGATGCTTAGAAATGTAATGCGTAATATGGAAAAATTGTCGGGTAGAGAAAAAGTCTGTTTTTTTTATTCCTTCATATGCCTAGTGGAATACAGTGATTCAAGCTAGAGTTTCGGATTTTCCCTAGCAGTGGTTGTATTGTTTTACTTAGTGATGTTAATATTCTCACACCAAACCATCCCTCTTTATCTGCATTATTATTGGCTGAGTTAGTTTTAGGAGTGAGTGTGTCGGTTGAAGATAGAACCCTGGACCACTTAAAGCATGGTTGCCGAGTCTTCTGCAGCAGAACCACCAACGGTGCTACAAAGTTAGTTGTAATATACTGTGCAATCTATACACATTCTTATCTAATATTATCTCAATGGTAGAATGAACGGCAACTATTTACACCGTCTGCGTTCGACTCCCAACTGATGGTTTGCTGAACCTCTGATGGTTTACTGGCTTGAAAGAAACGTAGAAGGGAGGGGAAGGGAGAATGAGTATGAGACTAGCAGCTGCAACATTTGCAAAGTGTTTGAACCCTATATATTACAACTGGAAGGTAAAGAAAGAAATCTGTGAATGTTCGTCTTCATCTTCAGTTGAATAGTGTCAAACTATACAGAATTGAATATCTATTTCTATAGTTGATGGAAAGCTCAATTCCACTGACATTTCAGTGGACTTACATTTTTTTTATTGGATTAGTTTTCAATGAAACATGGTGATAATAAAATAAATTTTTTACATCTTCGAGTAATAGAATGGAATTTACAATTTCACTGAATTATTGTTTTGAACAAAAGCCTAACATATATTTTGATATAGATTTAACCACCGACTGGAAAGTGAGAAGACAGGAATACATTAGACCGACAAGATGATTCTAGAGGATCTGGATTTTGCGCGGGTGGCTGATTTATGTTTAATGACGAACACAACCCAACAATTGCAGGCGAAAATAAAAAAAAAACTGACTGAGAATCAGGCTGCGTAGAAAGGACGGATTGAAGGTGATCAAGATAACCACCACCATCAACAGCAACAACAACAACAACAACCAGCAAGAATAATCATCAACTTTAGGGGTTTGACAGAGGTTACTCCCTTCAATTATCCAGCCAGGAAGCACGGTTTCAACCACACGCAGTCACCACGAATGAACATGTCAAAGCCAACCAACCAGTCAGAATTGGAATTGTAAAATACGCTTTCATTAACCTGAAACCACTTTGAAAATCTTCTGCAATCACTCACGTAGCAAGCATAAAAAACAACATTCGGATTTTCAACACAAATTCGAAGTTAGCCAGTCAGTCAGTGTCTTCTTCTTCTATACAAGTCAAAAACTTGCAGTGCACATGCATCATGTAAAGCACTTTAAACAGCTTGCTGCTGACTTATCAATAGCTACCACCTTTGTTAGCTCCATGCTGAAGGTTGAATGGCCAGCTAGCTGGCCAGAAAGAATTAGCAGCATATAAATCTGCAGTGGAACAAACGAACAATCGAGATTCGATTGCTTAAAAATATTTTGGAAAAAAAGAAGATGTATTGAAGGGGCATACACTGGAGAGAGGGTGTCGAATGACATCCCACTCAATGCAGACCATCGCTCCAGTGGAATCCGAATGGGGAGCGGCAAGTGGGTGGTCGGTGTAATGGTGACATGGAGAAGATGGTGTGAGTTGGAGGATGGGCTGAGAGAGTTAGTCAGCTGTAGAGGACATCAGGAAGTAGAATGAATTGGAGATATGTTGATGAAGCCCTGTGTTGCAATATTATTATTACTATTATTACTCTCAACTTTGTAGACAAAAGAAGAAAATTTCTTCAGTTAAACTCCCTTTGATGTGTTCATTCATTTCAAAACTTTAAATATTACTCATACTACATGAAAAACTTTGGCATAATATTTCAAGCTATCAATCAGTGGAATTCAGTCTGCACCAAACAAAAGACTAAACTCGTGAGACTTGTTAGTGCCCAGTCGAAGAAAGTTTCTGTTTACAGAGAAACCAGTTTAATTTCAAATGGTGTTTCCTGGTATCTGCACACCGTCACAAGGTACAATAGTTTTTAGAATACAGTATTTCTAGATGCCTCCAATTAATGTTTAAATGTTTTGAAGTCAAAAAGTCATACTACCTTTAGTATAAGCCTATTCAATGCAAGAATGTTGTGTTAGTTTTAAGGTTCCCTTTTTAAGCCTTTATTCCTCATAAAAGGAAAGTATTATCTCTGTTAGAAAAGATGTTTCTGCTTGAAAATTCGTTACCTATCAGGTGTCGTATATCTTCAGCTTTCTAAAAGTATCTAAGATGAAAAATCAAGTGTCTCAATGTTGAATGAACACACGTATCAATCAGATGGGAAATAAGACGAGTGTTTTTTATAATCATAATGAGTTACTTGTTAGAATGTTGTGATGTGCTCGAATTGAAATGGAATTTTGAGATTATTTATTATCCTTCTCTGATTTGATTGACTGGTGGTAATAATATCTTTCATATTTCTGGCATTTGCATTGAGTCATTCCTGTCGCGTGTGTTGTGTTGGATGTAGACTCGATGAACCAGGATTCAGTAATCAATCTCCCTTTATCTCCACCTACCTATATTACTTCTTAGAATCTTAACACTCTCTCACCCTATTGCGTGGTTTTGTGTTAATGCATACAGTACAATCGCTGAGCTTTTTTCTAAATTGCTTATCTTCTCGGGGTCAACCATTCCTTACCTTAGCTAAATTCTTATGTTCCGAAAATCTGACTATCCCTGACCTACTAGTTTGATCTATGTGGTTCACTTAACTCACAGTCATTGTAAGGTATTCTGTAAATTATATTATTTTGTCTAATTGGGTCCACCAAGTCTTTTAGCCTACAGAGCTTGTCCTACCTGAGTAAGTTTGTAGGTTTGAATGCCACACTAATTCCTGATGTATTAAGAATCCTACGTAGGGTCTCAGATGCCCCCCATCTTTATATGGTATGGCCTTTTTGGATCTTCCTAATGAAATTTATAGGATAGTTATTTAACACCTGATTGCAGTAGATTGGATAATGCGACAGACAACGGGCAATGAGGAAACAGGCATAAAATGGTCTCATACAAAAAACTTGGAGGATCTGGACTTCGTCGATGATAACATATGTCTGATTTCCCACAAACTGGAAGACATGCAGGTGAAAAGCAAAAAGCTGTCAGAAGAAGCATCAAGGATAGGACTTCAAGTGAACATAGATAAAACAGAGGTGATGAAGATTCCTGACCAACAACAACAACAGACAACAATCAGCCAGCATAAATGGGAATAACTTGAAAGAAACAACCTCCTTCACCTACCTGCCTACCTGAGAAGCATCGTTTCAACTACAGGCGGGCGGAACTGACGAGGATATCAAAGCCAGAATCGGAAAAGCAAGACAGGCTTTCATTACCCTTAAGTCTGTGTGGAGGTCAACAACACTCAGCATCAAAAATAAGATCAGGTTTTTTCAACTCCAATGTGAAGTCACTGCTACTTACTATACGGATCAGAGACTTGGCCAGCGCATCATAAAGAGCATCTCAAACAAACTTCAGACCTTCATTAACAGTTGTCTTCGCTCAATACCACTCAAGATCAGATGGTCGGCCAGAAAAGATCAACAGTAATCTCTGAAAATGAGCGAAACAACCGGGTACTGATTGTGCAGTATATTAGCAGGAAGAAATGTTTATGGATTGGCCATACTCTGAGGAAACCATCAATTGACATCATTAGAAAAGCCCTGGAGTGGTACCTGAACGGAAGCGGCGAGTTGATCGTCAGTGTGAGGGTGACATGGAGGAGGTCATGTGAGGAGGAGATGAAAGCATGTGGGCAGACTTGGAGCGGAGTGAAAAAGTTGGAAGGAAACTGAAGGCAATGGAGACGCGCAGCTGAAGCCCTATGTTCCTCTAGGAATTAAAAAATTTAATAGTAAATAATAATAATATTTAACACCAACGCCTCTTCTACCTGTTTTATTTCATCATCTGGGTCTTTTCTTGTGCTATTTAGTGTTATTGCTTGGTTTGTTGGATACTTATCTAAGTCAGCCTTTACAGACAGACAGCGGATGAGATGAAATAAAGTCTAAATATCTGTTAGCAGAATGAGTTGGTTTTCTATAAACGCTAGTGTGTAGTTCACCCTCTTCTATTCGTTTTATTTTACAATCCAACACTAGAGCTAATTCTCCTTGTTCATTTTCTGATTCAAATATGAATTTTATATCAATATTACAAAAATTGATTAGCAGATAACAATCCACACCATTCAGTTGCGGAAGTCACAAACGTGGTCTATTTGATAATATAGGTGGTAATCGAGAGAGCTAGAATATTTGCATAGAACTATATGGTAGTGATTGATTGGCATGAATGGTGTCAAACAGTAATGACTGCTAGCTAGCTAGCCAGATGACCGATGGCCGTTTCGCTCGTTCAGAGCCAAGCTTATGAGTAGTACACCCCGGTTTGACTCACCTCACACCCGATTTCAGATATAAGTAGTATGCATCTAGTCATCTCAATTAATCAGTAGTATGCATAATTTTATGCTTATTTACTTCCCTATATGATTATTAATATTAGCCAATAAAAAGGTATACAGAATGACAGATGATATAGACTGATAGCTGATTCCTTGAATACATTTCACCACACTATTATATTCTTCCTGTTATGTTTCTATGTGTATTTATAGATATCCAGTGATAGTATCAATTGAATGTTATGCATCACAAGCTCAACAAAGTGTACTTGTCACTTTTCTTCGTTGTTGTCTTGGTCATCGTTTACTCCTGCCAAACTCAGAGTTCACCTTTAACTTGAGTGAATCACAGTTGGAAATTGAAGATCAAGTTGAAAAGGCGAGATATCATAACTCCACTATCGGTGGGAGTAGTGTTCACAAAGC